TGAGGGGGGGTATAATGGGCCTCTTGGTTGCCAGATCATACTTGCTAGACTAGCCCTTCTGTGACTTGTGGAAAGCGGGAGCCGTGTCCCTTCAAAGCATAGCAATTATGGAGTTCTGATGAGGCAACTGCCCTCTCTATCCAGTCCTGAGCATCTGATTCTGTATCCCTTTGTTAACCTTTTGTAACCCTTCTGTGTCGCATTCATTGCTGGTTACATTGTGTTGCTGTCCTGTTCTTCACCTGCATTGGGCCTGCCCTACCTGCCCATCCCAGTGCACCTCCATTGTACAACTGCCACATTAAAATTTAAAACCCTCTGATGCTTAAACCCTGTTGCAGCGCAGCCTGCTACAACCCATGGGCCCTTTTTTTTTTTTTTTTTTTTTTTTTTTTTTTTTTTTTTTTTTTAACGGAATCCAGAAAACTGCTCAGAAAACCTCCCCATCCATCCACTTTACCTTACTCCGGCAAGACTTACTGCAGCAGAGCCACCATCTCCGCTGCTGCTATGCCCTATTCCCATCCTACCAGCTAGCACCCTCACTAGTAGAACGCATGATATTCCCCCATCTCCTTCCCCACTCCCCCTCATTCTGTTTTAACTCAAAAAGTTGGAGCTACTTTAGGAAATGACTACAACAGACTTCAAGAATCAACAGGACTCAAAATCCAACTCGAACCCCCCCCCCCATCAATCCTCTGTTCCTCACTCCGGCAAGACTTACTGCAGCAGAGCCACCATCTCTACTGCTGCTATACCCTATTCCAATCCTACCAGCTAGCCCCGTCACTAGTTGGACGCATGATATCCCACCGTCTTCTTCTCCCACTCACCTCGTTTCTTTTTTAGGATAGACCGCCGGAGTCCAAAAAGAAAATCCAAAAATTTCGACCTCCTTACCAAACCTTTCCAGGGTTCCTCAAAGTTGTTTTACTCCCTGCCGAGCTCTTCCAGGCCTCCCACCCCCACTTCCTGCTGGGATACAGGGCAACACAACTCGCCCCAGCTCCGGCCAGCGTCATCTCAGCAGCATACCTTGGTTGTCCCGTGAGATGCCCACCCCAAAGCATCCCCAGATCTCTCTACCAGGCCTCACGCTCCTGCGTCAACAGGTTACAGGGCAACACCCCAGCACCGACCAGCGTCGTTCTGGCATCGAACAGCCGCAGATCGCTGAGTATGGCAGCTTCAAGGGAGCCTGGGAAAAGTGGATAGAAGCCCCAGATTCCTAAACGTTCTCAAGTCCTCCGTAACGGCCAAACAGGGTACAATCCAGAAAAAAAGGGGGGGTCAAAGCTAGAAAGTAATACCAACTATCCTAAAATCCCCTCTCAACAAGTGGGCCGCCAGTCCCGGCTTTCAGTCCTCGTACCAGAACTCACCTGGTCTCATACCCCCCTCTGCTAGGGTAACAGGGCACCACAACCCACCTCAATACCGACCAACCTAGTTCTGACGGACAGGAAGTGCCTTCCTCCCTTGACAATTCCTTTAGCGGCAAACCCCTAAACAGGTTACAGGGTCAACGCCCCGGTGCCCACTACGTTGGAAGATCTGGTTATGCCTTCCACCCTCGGCATAACTCCATGGACCTCAAGCTCCCCCTCGGTCACAGAGCACAGCTCCAGCACCGGTCTATGTTTTCCCAGCATAGTTCTCCTGACCTACTCACAGTAACCAACATCTCCCGTCTGTTGAAAGTCCCCTTTCATTCTTTCCATCCACCCATTCTAGTCTCCCCCCAAGGCAATCAGAAAAGGCACACCACAATCGTAGATCTTTTCATCGAAAATCAGATTTGTATCATCTTTTTGAGGCGTGAAATTTTGAGATGAGATCACTTAGTAATCAAGGTAGTTTAAGTCATGAATTTTTGGCATCCAATTCAGAACGAATTTTCGAAAGAAGAACTAAAGAGGGATGTCCTCACAGACTTTCGACTCTGATTTCCAGAACCATAGTTCGAAGAAAACGTTCAGACTGTAAATCAAGAACATAGCAAGTTGTGTTAATATCCTTTTATGTCAGTGCGTTTAAACTTTAAACCCTACTCTACAAACATCTGGTTTACAATCACTTTTCTGCACTATCTGTGTTGTGGTCGTTGCTGGCGGCATTATGGTGCTGTCCTCAGTGTCCTGTTTCAACCTGCATTGGCCCTGTTCCTTTTTTTTTCTTTTCTTTCCTTCTTTTCTTTTTTTCTTTTTTCTTTTTTCATCGATTGTACAACTGTCCTTTTTTTTTTTTTTTTTTTACACCCACAGATGCGTAAACCCTGTTGCTACTGTATGTGTTGCCAGTGATGCGGCATGAGCCATCCTTTGTGATCTGATTGGCTGCGAAGGAACCCGCAGTATGAGCCATCAGGTATGTGCTGATATATTAGCAGTGTGATATGGCTACCGTACTCGCCCATTAACATTCTGTTCTCTCAATAATTGCATTCAGTGACACCCTGCTGTGTGTGAGCTGCATTCTTTACACCACGTGACCGGTCCCAGCTGTTGTCCCTCCTGATCCCTGGCTGTGATTCTCAGTTACTCCAGGAAGGAAGTCAATGATTGGCCGGCATACAGCTTGAGGATGCGGGAAGAAACGAGAGAGAAAACGAGGGGAGGGAGAGGATGTGGCCGGAGGGCGGGGGGTGGGTAAGGATATGAGGAGGGTGAGATGGGAGGGGGGGG